AGAGGCAGGAGGTTTGAGGCTAGGACTAGAGCTGGGATCCGAACGCCAGCTCCTTGCATGCCAGTCTAGTGCCCTGCCTGATGCCCTGCACTGCCTCAATGGGACCCTTTCCTTTGTGTTCAGGGGGCCCTGAATGGGACCCAGATGAAGTCAATGCAGTGCTTGGTGGGTGCTTGGCTCATAAGAGCTCCATATAAGTCCTTCCATATGACCCAAGAAGCGTGAGTCACCATTAATAATAAACTCCCCATCATCCCCTCCTCCCTGCCTGCTAGAACAGCCAGTTTTCTGTGTTTATTAGAATAAACCGAGGCAAAATGGGAGCGCTATAGACACAGCCCAGCCTTGGCTCACTCCTCTCTTTGAGGGCGACTCAGATTATCCAGGAGATGGAAGTAGAAAAGCAAAGCAGTGGCACCAAAAGCAAACCAGAGGCTTGTTCCTTGCAGCACTTGGCTTCCCTTCCTTTTGGGTGGGGAGCCTGACAGGCTGTGGCTATGGCCCAGTGGTTTCTCTGACTGCAGAGGCCCTGTTTGCGCTGGGGTTTGCAGCTCTTTCACTCAGGAAAGTCTCTTTAAAACCCAGCCTGGGCCCATTTGCAGTGTGTGATGATAAACCAGCTTGGAAACAATGCCCCTGCTGATACCAGGGGACTTATTCTGGAATGGGCAGCACTGATGTAAATCTGGAGTAACTCAGCATCACACTGATGTACTTGAGATGAGAATCTTAGCCCAAAGCCTAGGAGCTCCAGTTCAGATGCCCAAATGCTCAGTCACAATCGAGGCCAGACTTTGACCCGTTGTGCAAATCTCTGGCTTGGGGTTGGAGTCAAACTCTTGGAAGGACGCAGTCTGAGCTGCGGGCGTTGAGTTCTTTGGAAACCATGACCCCTAAGGCCTTAAGTTGCTTGCTAACAATGCTGACCCTTGGGAAGTCTTTTAAGATCTACAGGTTGAAGGGAAAAATGATTTTCTTCTGATTAGTTATAATGAGGTGTGAGTCTCCTGGTGTTTCCTGGCCAAACTGGTTCTAGTGGGAGATGACTGTTTAATCAGTTCTGCTATGGATGGGCCTTTTCCATTGTGCCTTTCCTTTGTATCACATGGGCCCATTGTACTGCTGCTGCCTGTTCAGGGAGATAGGCATTTCCTGGTTGAAAGGCGCTGATGGCTGGAAAGGCATAGGAGCCCTGCCCGGCCCCAGGTGAGGTAGCCCTTTGCTCCACACTGAGGGGGAGGACCTAGCAGAATGGTTGGACTGGTTCCAGGAGGGCTGTAGGTTGCTCCTAGTGGCAAAAGGTCCAGGTGCCCCCAGTCTCCTCTTGGAGCCAAGTGGTTTTGGTTTTTTGTGCATCCTGTGCAGCGCGTTTCATAACAGCAGGAAATGCGTCTCGCCTCAGTCACCAAGCACGCTGGCTGGCTGCTGGCACGCAGTACCCATGGGACTGACGGGAGCACTTGCGGCCTGCCAAATCTCTCAGGTCTAGTGTCTAGTTGGTGAGCGCTTCATCGCAGGAGTTTCCTCTCTTTGTGCAGAGCGGGGCATGTGGACGGATCCTGTTGCTGAGGATAACACTCTAGTGCGTGCCATCCTTTGGAGGAAAAGCCTGTTCTTGGGCAGTGGAAAGGAATGACCATAGGAACGAGGCACTGGGCTGTGAATCGGGAGAGACGTGGCTTGGATTCCCAGCTCTGCCATGGGTTTTCTGCATAGCTTTAATTGCTTGCTCCATTGGAGCAAGGCTTCTCTGCTTGTCAAGAGCTCAGATATGAGCCTGGTTTTTGAAGCACATGGAGTGCCTACAGAGACAGTCGGAGCAGTAAAATGCTCTGTGCCTCTGAAAGCCGCATCTGAGCTGAATACGTGTCTAGGTGGCTCTCCTGATTGGGGACGGAGATCTCCGTCCAGCCTCTATGCAAGCGTCCGTGCTGGGATTTCTGGGCGTGCAGGATGCTGACAAGGTGGGGGTGCTAAGGGCCGATGGTGCCCTCTGCCATTGCTGCCTTAATCTAGGGCCGTGATCAAGCATCCCAGGACCTCCTGAGCGTATACTGACATTTCCTAGAAGCAGGACATTGGCTGGTTCCTTTGCTTTACCTGTGGCAGGTTTGGGTGTTGATGATGGGCAGTGGGGAGTAGGAAGGAGTGGCTTGTTCCTGAGGTCTGGAGGAAAACTGACCTCCTTCCAGTGGAGCTAATGTTGGGAGAGGCCCTCTGAATTAATCTTGGTGCCGGGAGACAGAGTCCCTTGCACAGCTATTGCCAAGATAAGGACTGGGTGACTGCTTTGCCTTTCTCTAGTGCCTTCCCTCGTGAGCTCCCAGCAGTTCCCACACTGGCAAGTAGTGACATTGCATCAGACCCCCCCTGGCTCAGTCATTTAAAAAAGTAATGAGCATCTCATTACTTATTTAGGGCTTTAAAAAGCCCTCCCCAAGGTGGGAGCTCCAGTGGCACACTGGGCTCTTCCCCCCTCTTAAACTTGTGTTGCTGTGCACCGTCAGGCAGCCCCCATGTTTCACCCCAGAGACGGCTGCATTTGGGATCGTCGGTGCTAGCAGAATGGAGGCCACGGGCATTGCCACAGTGTTAGGTTTAAGCACTAATAATTTAGAGAGGGCAGACCTTTCCCCCATAAGCTCTGCGCCGGAGAGGATATTGAGCCAGCCCTCTCCAGACCGTTCCTTGGCAGAAAGTCTCTTGATTCGTCTCTCTCAATTACTCGCTCTCACGTGCCTGGAGGCTCTTTTCCAAGTCTGTCTCATCTGCAAGTCAGATGCAGGCTTTCCCAGGCTGGCAGCTCAGCTTGAGAGCTTCGGACAGCATTGATGCTTCAGGCTTCCCGCCGTGCTGCGTTACAGACCCAGCATGGGAAAGAAGGCTGCAAGCTAGGACTTTGACTGGAGTGGGAGTTACCTAAATGAAGGCCACATCCACAATGGGCGTCAGTGCTGGGACTGCCAGCGGTGCTCGGTTGTGTTTTGGGGACTGGCCTCTGCTGCTCCGGTTCAGGTGCTCAGGGATGCTCTCTCTGCTCACTCAGAAGGCTTTGGTGGGAGTAACCACACTCCTGGGGTGATGGGATGAGCCGACATAACCTGAGATGCTGAATCCCTGATCCACCCTGACGGGCCAGCCTCCTAGAGCTGGAGCACCTCTCTGCTTGAGCTCGCAACCTGTCCCTGTGGGTGGAAGTCAGATTAGGGCAGTGATTCTCAAGCAGGGGGTTGCAGCACCTGGGTTGCCTTGAGCACCTTTCAAGGGTGCCGTGGGGTGCCACACAATGTTAGCACTCATGAAGCACAAGATAAACCCCGAGATTTCAAATAGGAACCCACAGAGTTAAATCGCTCTGCCCTGCTCTGGGCTTTCCGAGTTGTTTGCAACAGAAGAATGGCTCTGGTGTTTTTCTGTAGTCAAAAAGAGAGTGAAAGCTAAGGCTGGCATTGTTCGAGGGGGGCTTGGAGTCAGAAAAGGTTGCAAACCACTGGCCTAGGGGGACCTCTCAAGTGGTAGCTCAGGCTCATGTTGCTGGAGGTGAGCCCTAATAGCCTGGGGCTTGCCATAGGGCATCTGGGCTGGAGTTGGGGCAAAGCGCTGGGCAGGAGTTGCTGACAGCTGGTCCTGAATTCCCTTGGGAACAAAGACAGATGCCCACAGAGTCTGGCCAGAGCGGGCTGGCCTGACGCGAGCAGCTGTGGGCAGCACAAAGGGCCCCCTCAGAAAGAGTCATTTTTCCTGACCGCAACCACCCACGGCCTCCTTTCCTCATTGAGACACATCAGCTGCTTGCCACTCTTGTTGCCCACCTCATCACGGCTCCCTGCTGCACAGATGATCTTCTGGGAATGTGAAGGGTGCAGACCTTCCCCCTTGCCTTGATTGCATGCTCAGGGCTCTGCATGCTTGGTGTGAAGCCCCAGGCTTGCCTGCGGCTCCGTGAATGCAATATCCCTGAGCCCCACAGCGGTTGGGGGGGGGGCAGGCGGTGGAGGGCAGGAGGAGCCTGCAGTCTTTGGCAATGCCGGTGCCAGCTGGGACAGCTGCTGCTGCCAGCTCATGCCCTGTTCCCTCAGAGACAGGCCATGCTTCGGGAGGGGAACCCCCGGGCAGAGGTTAAAGCGGAAGGAAGAGTAAGAGGCCTTTGCTAACGCTGCCTCCAAAACTCCCCGCGTCTGCTGTGGGAGGTCCAGGTGCATGTTGCGCAGGGGAAGTTGTCAGTCATTGGGTCTGGCCTCCCCCGCGCACCCGCCTGCGTCCCTGACATCAGGCAGCTCTTGGGCCAGAGCATTTAAACATGGTGCCTAGAGCAAGGATCTTCCATCTGGTGCATTAAGATCTGAGCCTGCAGCTCCGGGGGACCTCAGCAGGGCCTGTGGGTGCCCTGCCCCTTGGTGTTGCTCACATTCAGGTACCTAAATTTAGCTTTGGGAGCCTGTTTTATGCGCCAGATTGGGAAGTGTGGGGCCTTAGGTCTCTCCCCCACCCTCTCTTGGCTCTTCTGTTTTCAGAGCAGCGGCTGATGTGAGCCAGCTGCAGAGGGGTGCTCCCTGCAAACATCCAGCCACCACCAAAACCCTGGCTTCCCTCCCGCATCTAGGGGCAGGCTTTCCCCCACGGAGAGCAATGCAGCTCTGACCTGCCACTTATGCTTTCCCCCTGTCCTGCTGCTCCATTTTTGGGTCCCCCTGTGCACAGCTCTGAGCCACCATCCCCTCCCACATCCGTTGTGCCAGGGCTGATGATCCCGTGACGCTTGGGTGGCTCAGTAATGAGGCAAGCAGGGCTATCAGGGGGATGTGCCCAGTCCCCCTGCCTTGCCCAGATGCCCTGCTCAGTTCTGGGACTGATCAGGACTCATCCATGTCAGGCTTTCTACTCTTCTCGAGCAGGGAGCTGGGACTCCACCCTCCTTTCCTGAGCGTGCTGTGAGCTCCGCAGCTGCAGCCAGAAGCACCCAGCAGAACTCAGCGCTGCAGGAAGCCGGAGGTGCCAGTAACGCTGATGAGAGCGGTCGGCTCCGTGTGTCAGGACATGGGCTGATCAGTGGCAGGGGCTGAGGGGGACTGTATCCTCATGCATGTGATGTGACCTAGGAGCGTATGGGTCTTCAGGCCTCTCTACCCTGTCTTTCTCCAGAGGCTGTAACACAGCCCTCAGGATTTTAGCTCTGAAGCTTATGGGTTCAAATCCTGCGGAGTGCCCCAAGCAGGGTCTTGTAGCTAGTCCAGTGTGTTTGTGAGGGGAAGTGGCAGGACCACCGGGCCCGTGCTAGTCCTGGGGTCAGCGAAGTGGGTGCCGCATGAGACCCCGGGTTCCCAGCTGCACTTCTCCGCTCAGCCTGTGCATCTCGCTCTCTTCCAGGCTCCCTTCGCGGCACCGTGCCCCAGGATGAGCGCTCTGGATGGAGAGCAGTGCAATCCTGCTCATGTCCTGTTCGACACCTTTCTGCATGCCAACGAGTGCGAGGAGGTGCTGGGCAGCTTCCGGGCGCTATGTGGGCACTTGGGCCTGGAGCACACGGGGCAGCTGTGCTTCTACCACAAGCTGAAAGCCTGCCTCAACTACTGGAGTGCCAAGGCCCTGTGGAGCAAGCTGGACAAGAAGGCTGGGCACAAGGACTACGACCAGGGCAGGGCATGTGCCAACACCAAGGTAGGATGGCCCAGACTGGCCAGTGGGGCTGGGGCTAGGGCAGGGCCCTGCAGAGAGCGAGGGAAAGGGCCAAGGCGACCCGTGGTTGTTGTGTATGATTGCAGTTGCGATAACAACTCACTGCTTCATCACGGCAAGTGAAGCCGCTCCTCTGCCTCAGCTGTGCTCGCACCTGCTGGAGTGTCTGCATAGGCAGCTGCATGGAGGCTTCTTGGGCTAGCAGGGAGGCCATGCCATCCCTTGTCCCAGCTTATTCCTCCAGGCTGGGCTGAGTGGGGTGTGGAAGGGGTCTGAGCACCCCACAAGGCACCCATTAGCATAGGCAGGGTTGTTGCCATTAGTGGCAGGCCTTGGCAGTTCAGCAGTGCAGCAGATAGCACTGTCAACAGCTGTGGTGCAAACGCAGCCCATCGCTATGTGGCGCAGGGGGAACCCTTCCTGCTGGGCTTTGCCTGCCAGCTCCAGCCTGGGCCGTTTGCAACTGGGCTCCTGTGAGGTGAAGGAGGGGAGGGTGCATCCATTTTGCATGGGAGACCGTATGTCAAGACCTCCACCAGGCATCCAGCTGGACATGGGCTGGGAGCTGGGATCTCCTGCTGCCAGCACTGATTCCCAGCTCCCTCCGCCTTGGTCCCCCTTCAGGAGTTAATGCCTTTGCTGGCTGTGTTCCAGCCAGAGGGGATAAGTGCTGAGCGCTGCAGGGAGGGTGAGTTGGCTTCAGTGAGGGATTTACCCCCACGTCCCTCTGTCCTTGGACAAGAGCAGCCTGAAATACATTGTTGTCAAGCTGTAGCTGTTGAGCTTTCTGCATCCCTAGCAGAGGGAAGCATCCTGTTCTGCTGAGGAACAGCAGGGCTTCTTTATCCGTGCAGAGGGCTGCCCCCCAGCTACTCTGCAGCGAGGCATTGTCTTGGCACCGGGGCCGGCTGGACCAGTGCCCGTGGCGGCTTCTGGAGGCTCTGCCTGTCTCCAGTGGGGCTTTGCACTAGAGGCTGCAGAGCAGATCCCTGGTGCAGAGAAGGCCCATGGATAACAGTGCCCCAGGAGAGTCAGGAGGAGGAAGCCTGCTGGGCTAGGAGCAGACCTAGGGCTGCTTGTGCAACCTGCATGTCACAAAGCTTCCTCTGTGCCAGCCCACAGAGGATATGAGCTATTGCAGCCCCCAGCTATGGGTGCTGGCTCTTTAGCACAAGCTGTAGCAATATGTGGCTTTTTCAGCTCTGGAGGTTCCTGGTTCCTGTGCATCTGCCACGATACAGTCTGGGATGCGTGCTGGGGGGGCTGAGTGGCTCTGCCCCCCCCACAACTCTGATAGAGTCACCCCAGTGCTGCTGTGCAGACATCACCTCTCATCTCACACTCACAGAAGTCAAGGCCTTTAGACTTAGTCCAGGACTAATCTCCCCTCCCTCAGCAAGCCGATGGGACCCTCTCCCCATCCCCAGAGATCACTGTGGTGGTTGTGCGGGAGGGTTTGTCCACACAGGGCTGCGCTCAGCTCTATGATTGCTCCTTCCAGTGCCTGATCATTGGGGCAGGTCCCTGCGGGCTCCGCACAGCCATTGAACTGGCCTTCCTGGGAGCCCAGGTTGTGGTGGTGGAGAAGAGAGACTCCTTTTCACGCAACAATGTGCTGCACCTCTGGCCTTTCACCATCCATGACCTGCGGGCACTGGGCGCCAAGAAATTCTATGGGCGCTTCTGCACCGGCTCCTTGGACCACATCAGTGAGTGGGGATGAGGTTGTGAGCAGGGCGGGGGACAGGGTAAATCACCTTTGGGAGCAAAACATGGCTGGGGTCTGGGTGGGCCAGTAGGCAGGTGATGCCTGGGGTCTAATACAGCAGGGGCTGGGTCTTGCGGGTGCTCAGCACATCCTGCAGTGGAGATTAAGAGTGGGGACTGGGGCTTATTAAGGCTGAGCTGGGCATAAGCCCACCCCATTGGGGCTGTCTTAGGCAGGCTGGAGCTGGATCTGTGTGTATGGGGGGAAGGGTATCTGGGGCACACTGGGGCCGAGCTTGGGGTGGTATCAAGGGTCTAGTACAGCAGCCAGGGCTGGGCATGCGGGGAACGCTATCCCAAAGCAGCTCTCGTGGGTGGAAAAAACTCTGTTGTTTACCACATCTGCTGTCCCGATGAGTGACAGCAAAGGCATCTCTGTTCCAACTTGCCCAATATGTGCAGATGCATACGTGCAGAGCCTGCAGGAGCTTGGCCTCTGACCTACAATCACTTCCTCTGCTCCCCCCAACCCCCAGCCACAGGCTCTGATCCCCAAGCAATGCTTGTACAACTAAGGGATTCACTGCCCTCAGTGCAGCTCCTGGATCTGGCTTTTGGGGGAGGCTGGGCTCTGGTCCGTAGGGAGCTGCATGGTTAGGAAGCAGGGGTGGAATGGGGTCAGTTACCCTGGGGGTGTTGGTGGGGGCAGGGGAATGGAGGTGGGTTTAATAAGGGGGATCTCTTGGAGTTTGAAACCAGCCCCTGTTCCTTCCTTGCTGGGGATGCATCTCCTCCAGGTATTCGCCAGCTCCAGCTCATCCTCCTCAAGGTTGCCTTGCTCCTCGGTGTCGAGATCCATACCAGCGTGGAGTTCAAGGGGTTCCTGCCCCCGGCGGCGAAGGCCAGCGGCAGGGGTAGGTTTGTGAGCTGAGGTGCTCCAGCAGGCAGGGGGACTGCAGCCCTCCTGTCCCACTGCTGGTGGGGCTCAGTACAGGGGGCTGCACAGGGTGTCGGGGGATGTGGAGAAGGGGCCCAGATGCGCTGCACTCTTCTGGGAAGGCACTGAGGCTGCTCCGGACTGGCCCGTGGCTAGTCCAGCTGTTGTGCACGGTGCTGCTGCCCTGCGGGTACATGAGGGGGGCTGAGACCGGCTTTATCCCTCTCTTGCTCATTACTGCTGCTGACTTGTGGTGGGGAGGGAAGGGCTTGTGCAGAGACCTAGCACATTCATGCCATGGGTTTGAGCTAGGAGGTGGGTTTCCACTCAGGCTGTCATGCCAGGGCATGTTCTGGTTCATTTGAAGCAGCAGGCTGCCCTCAAGGGCTAATCCAGCCTCGCTGCCAGCCCCGGAGCCTTTATATCCACTCTGCAGATGTGGGATGTGGGGCAACTTGCCCAGGGTCACACCATGAGTCAGTGGCAGTGCAGGGGTTAGTGCCCTCACCTGGTGACTCATACCCATGTGCTCTAACCACTGTGACACACAGCCATCTCCCTGAGTGCTTCGCAGGGGCAGGGAGGTCTCATCTTGGATCCTCTGCTGATGCCCGCTTCCTTGTCCTCTCACAGCAGGCAGTGGCTGGAGGGCCACGCTGCGGCCAAACTCCTCTCCTGTGGGGCAGTATGTGTTTGATGTTCTCATCTCTGCAGGAGGTGGCAAATTTGTGCCTGAAGGTATGTGCTTGTGTGTGCTCCAAGCTGCCCAGCATCAGAGGTGGGGATCATGTCCAGCAGAAAGCAAGACTGGGGGTGCCCCAGGTCTTCAACAGGCCGATGAACCTTCTCTTGGCTCAGTCTCTGCAGGGCTTGTGAGAGGGGCCCAGCTGGGCCTGGAGCAGCCCCGTCATGCTGGGGCTAGCAACTGGCAATAGCCGTCCTCCTCCATCCATGTGGCCAGGCTAGCAGAAACCCCCACTTGCTTCCAGCCTCATTGCCTGGGGCAGTGGGCTGTTGTGACTGACCCGGCTCTTGGAGGGGGATGGGGAGAAGCTCCCCCTGAACAGCCTGGGCAAGCTTGGAGGGTGGAGGGCTGCTCTCTGTCTCATCAGGTTGGGGTTGCTTTGAGGGGAGGAATTCAGTCTGGACATAGCTCTGCCCCTTCTAACAGAGGGCTCATCAGCCTGGCAGGCCTGGGCACCTGGATCTGGGAGAGGTCTGAAATGCATCTGGGGGAGATGGAGCAGGAGGAGAAGGCCTTGAGATGCTGCAGTACCTGAGGAGCCCCCTGCTCTGGGGTAGTCCTAACCCCTGCAAGGGCCAGTGTCCCCAGGGCTACCCACCTTCTGACTTAAAATGCACCTAGTGCCCTGCAGTGAGGCTTTTTCTGTGCCTGCTTGGAGATCCCTACAGCTTCAGCTTCCAGTTCTCCCTCTTCCCTGATGCTCTGCCCTGCCCCACATCTGAGCCAGGCAGGGACCCTCCTGGGGACATGGAGAGCCCCTCCACCCCCTGCCGGTGCTCAGTTGTCATTAGAGAGTTCTTCCCACCAGCTGCAAGTGGGCGACATGACCAAGGCCATGCAGTACCTCAGTGGCAGAGCAGCTATGCGTGTGTCTCTCTCCCCAGGGTTCAAGCGAAAGGAAACTCGTGGCAAGCTGGCAATTGGCATCACCACCAACTTTGTCAATCACCACAGCAGGGCTGAGGTGGAGGTGCCCGAGATCAGTGGTGTTGCCCGCATCTACAAGCAGCAGTTCTTCCAGAACCTCTACAAGAAAACAGGTTGGTGCCAGGTCCCAGCTGGTTTTTGGAGACGGGGGAGGTAGAGCCCTGGCCTCATGTGGGGTGGGGGTTGCTATGGTCATGGTGCCCACTGTATGTCCGGCTGTCCGTAGATAGAGCAGGCTGTAGGGCAGAGAGCAGCGCTGGCTTCAACAGTGTCTGCCCAGCTCCAGCTAAGTCTTCTGCTTTGTATCTTTGAACAGGGATTGACTTGGAAAACATTGTCTACTACAAAGATGATACCCACTATTTTGTCATGACGGCCAAAAAACAGAGTCTGCTAAAGATGGGAGTCATTTTAGAGGTAAGAGGGGGTCAGAATAGGGGTCCTGCTTAGGAGGAAGGGGAGAATAGCAGCTGTAGGTAGGGGCTGAGGCATGAGCTCTGGGATCTAAATATTCTGCTGTATCCTGGTCCCACCCCTCTTCCTTCTATTTTTAATAACAGGTTCAGGCATGGGCATCTCTAGGATTTTTAAAGGTGGGGGGTGCGGATCATCACACATAAACGTATTTTGTTCTACATCTTGGCAGAGGGCACCAATGCCAGGGGTCAGCTCTGCAATTGTTTCCATCTCGTTGGTGCAGGACAAGTTGGACACGGAGAGCCTGCTGTCTTCCGAGAACGTGAACCGCGAAGCCCTCCTCAGCTACGCCAAGGAAGCAGCCAGCTTCTCCACCAACTACCAGCTGCCCAAAATGGAGTTTGCACTAAACCACCAGAACCTGCCCGATGTCGACATGTTCGACTTCACCTGCATGAGCCGCTCCGAGAACGCCGCCCTGGTGTACGAGCACGGTGGGGCCCGGCTGCTCATCGGGCTGGTGGGAGACTGCCTAGTGGAGGTGAGGATGCGCAGTAATGAGCTTGGCATGGGCTTGGTCCTGCCCCCCTCTGTGAGTTGCCTCGCAGTGTTGCCAGCCCCGGGGGCAGAGTTTGACCTGAAGATCCTCTCTCTCCCTGTCTGCCAGCAGACTGATGGGCACTACCTTTGTTTCCCCAGTACCATGATTCTTGGCCTGCCTTCAGATGATGACTTGACGTGGATGTTATAGTGATACCCAGATGTAGCGTCGGTAGCTTGCCAGGAGTTTAGGAGCTGATTTAGGCAGCACCAAGCTTGTTAGTGCTGAACCCAAAGGAAGA